AGTGATTTCAAAAGATCCATGAGGAGATGGTTGTCTTTCAATTGTTGACATCTTCGATAATCTTTTTTCATTTTTTGAGAGTTTTTAATTTTTCATTTTTTTATCAAATACAAAAACTAAAATCAATAAAAAATAAAAATAAAAAATAAAATAAAAAATAAAAAAAATGAAATGATAATTTGTAAAACAAAAAAAATCAATTTCAACTTTTCATCAATGGACGAACTATGTGATTATTCAACAATATGGGAAAATGTCCATCGATTTGAACAGCTTACTCCAACTATAAGAAGTTTATTTGTTCATAAACTTTATAATTATGGTAATGACTATGGATTTGATTCAATAACAAGTCCTAATTTAAAACGAGAAACAACTTCAGCACTTTTATTTCAGATATTTCAAGAGACAGAAGAACATCCTGAGTTTATATTAATAACAAAATTTTTAAAAAATGTTAATGGAATTAAAGAAGTTATTCCATTATTATTACAACAAATATCATATTATTCTGAATTATTACTTACGACTAAAACATCTGAAATGGTACAATTTACTACTATTGCATTTGGATTATTTAGAAAAATTATTGGGGGAGTATTTGTTGAAGAAATAAATTATTCAGAACTTGAATTTATTCCAAAACAATTTAATGAACAATTAAAAAAATGTTATTTTTTATGTTTAGATAATCCAACCCAACTTTATTCATATTTAGTGGATGAAATTTTATTTTTATTTCTTAATGTCTTTTATTTTAAAGCAAAAAGTATGACTAATAATATTTCATCTTATGTTGAATCATTATTTTATGACAAATTTACTTATCATATTCAAAATGAAGAAGTTATTTTCTTTATTAAACATCAAATTGGATTATCACAAATATTATTTCGTTTTTTGTTTGTTGTTTTTTTTTTGTTATTAATTCATTAAAGAAATAGAGCTTATTGAATATAGAAAAAATGATAAACTTCTTCAAAGTTTAACAACAACATATCTTTCACTCTTTGAATTTTTCTTACAAATATTACCTGTAGTAAACGTTGAAAATATTGATTTATATTTAAGTGTTATTCCATCATTTTCTCAATGTAATATAATTGTATTAAAAATGGAAAAGATATTAGAAAAAATACCAGTTAACAAAGAAAATCAAAAGTTTTTTATTAGTATATTTAATATGTTTCTTAATTGCTGCCGTTTTAATGCATTTACAATTGATACTAAAAAAGAGTTATTAAGTTCATTATTATCTTCTTCTTCTATTAAACAATTTAAACATTTTCATGAATATCATATTCTTATTAACCAACTTTCAACAAATAATGAAGGAATAGTCTTTGATAAAATTGAAAATGTATTGGATTATCGTAAAACAATATATTGTATGTTTGAAAATGAATTAGATTTAGTTACACCTGGTTCTGTTATTAATATGTGTATTTTCTTAGAAACAGATCCATTAATAAATGAACAAATACCTTTATTAATACATTGCATTTCATATTTTATTCAAAAAGATTTATCACTCTCATTATTTTGTGCTAAACAATTACGTTCACTTATTTGTGAAAGAATTAAATTAAATGATGAAAGTGTTTCTTGTTTAATTCAACTTATAAATCCTTGTATTGATAAACAAGTTATCTTCATTATTATTGATATTTTAGTAGTATTGGCAAAGTATAAACAAACCAAAAAGTTCATTAAACAACAAATTCAAAGAATTAAAACAATGGTTTTGTCTTTTTCAATATCTATTCAAAGTGAAATCATAGGTAAATTATTTACATTATTATGTGATCAATGTATTGTATCAAATAAAACACTTCAACCTAGTGATCATATTGGAATATCTAAAAATTCATTAATTGTTACATTTGCATCAGTTTATCCATTAATTCTTTCATTAACTATTCAAAATACAACTACTTATTTAAGAAGTGCACTAATAGATTTTGTTAGTTTTAATTCATATAATTGTAGTAAATTTTGTAAGTATTGTTTTGATGATCTTATGAAGTTAATTTCAAAAACACCAAAAGGAGAGACTAAAGAATTTCTTGTGTGTTTGGCAAGTATTGCAGTAACACCATCTTGTTCAATTCAACAAATGAAAAATTTAATGAGAGATACTGTTTCTGAACAATCATTTTCATCAGATAGTTTTTCTATTTTAAAGAATGTATTACAAGAAACATCTCGATTAGATTTTAAATCCTTTTTCTTTAAAAAGAATTCATTTATTACAAGTCAATGTCCTATTTCATTCAATTACAAATCATCATCAATAGTTCTTTGGTTTTGTCCACAAAGTATTATAAATGAAGCACAAACATTAGCAATGTTTCAATCACCAGAACATCATTTAATGACTATTTCAATTACAAATCAAAATTATCTTCAATTAAGGTTAGAAAATAGTAAAATTGAATATATTACAATAGATATTAAATTAAATGAAATGGAATGGTATTGTGCAGTTTTTGTCTTCCAACAAAAAAATAATGAAATGATATGTGAAGCAAATCTCATTCAAACAACAAATGTTCAAGTTAAAACTATATCAATACCAATTCAACCTCATGACCAATCTATTCTCTTTTGTGAAGAATGTTTTGGATGTTCTAAAGTGAAGAATCAATATTCTAATTATTTTGTTGGATATATTTCTTCATGTGTAATTTTCCCATTATCATTAACTCAAATGGATATTAGTCAAATTGACTTAAATATTAATACTTATCTTTCTCAACCAGAACTTTTTATGGCAAATTTAAAGAAATTATTTGTTTTATCTACAAACCCAATTGAAACACATCAAAATATTGTTGGAGATATTACACCAACATTTAAATATGAACATTGTAAAATCATTACAAGTACTTCAAACATCAATTCATTCCAACAAAGTGGTTCATTTAAATTTATTTTTAGTCTCTTTGAACTTCTTTCTATTCATCCTGAACAATTAAGTTCAATAAACCCAATTTCAAATATCAATTCTAATTCTAATCCACAAAGTCAAAGTCAAATTCCTTTATTGTTAACGTCAAGTGATAAAGTAGAAAATTCAAATATTATTAATAAACAAAGTAATAATAGTTGCAAACCATGGACTAACTTGTCTAATCCAAACGATGAACAACAAAAGAAATTAATAGGAAATAATTTAACAGTAAATATTCCTACACAAAAGAAAAGTGTTATTGGTAATAACAGAACACTTATAAAGAAAAAACAACATCAGTCATTTAAAAAATCACAAGAAACAATTGTATTAGATGCAATATTATCTATTTTATTAAACTGTGTTAAAATACCAAAAATGCATAATGGATTTATTTTATTAAATATTGCAAATTATCTTCATTATATTTTAATTGCTTTACCTTCAGAATGTATAACTAAAAAATGTTTTGATGAAATACTTCAATTAGCTGATATTTTTAATGGAAGTTCAATACGTTCATCATTTGAATCAATATTTCTTGATTATAGAATTTGGAGTGGATGTGAAAAAGAAATACAAATACTTATTATTGAACAAATTAAAAGTTTAAAAGAACCAATTAATTTATTGAAGTTTATTGTTATGATTGAATTATTTATGCAACCACATCAAATTACAAAATCAATTCAATTTATTTCATTAAATCAAAAATTACCACTAAATGAAATTGAAGAAGTTTATATTACTACAATAACTGGATTCTTTCAAATTGCATCAAGAAAAATAACAATAGAAAATATTACAGCAATTAATCATTATTTATATATGATTCATGATGATGATGTAATTAGAAATACATTAGATTTATTATTTATTCATTTTCATACATTTCAAAAAGAGTATAATCCTTTTGCAGAAATTATTGTTAATAATTGTATTAATATTCAATCAATTATTCCATTTAAACAACAATATAAAATATTATTGATAATGTTATTATTCTTAGAAACTGTTATTCAAACTAATCCAATGTTTGATTGTAATACAATAACATTATTAATATTAAGTTGTATTTTTGTATCAAAAAATTATGACTCAAATTTGTATTATCTTCTTATTGCACAATCAGTAAAAATACAATTATTATTAGATGTACCAAAAATTAATTTATTTGCAATGAGATATTCTGAAGATACTATTAAAGAACAAATTTGTGAAACACTTTATAATAATACATTATATGATAATTTTCCACAAAGTGCATTTAATTTAATTGAGTCACCGATTGTTATAATGAATACAATACAAATAACAAAAGATATTAAACAAAGAGATAAATTATTTAATTTATTAAAAGTATATATAATTAAAAAAATGACTTATTTAAATAAAAAAGCACAAGAAAAAATTGAAGAATTTATAAATATTATGATTACTTCTGCTTTTTATTATACTGAAGAAATGATTATGGAAAATGATGAAGAAGCATTTAAATTATTACTTTTTGTATTTGAACAACTTGATATTCAAATTAGACCAAAAATATCAAAATTAAAACAAAAATCAAATAAAGATAAACAAAATATTATTAATTGTTGTCAATTGTTCTTACTTAATGTTTATCATATGACATATAAATTTAAAAATTATTTAACTCAATGTAATTTCATTCTTTCTTCTAATTTAATGAATGAAAGTAAAAGTTGTTTCTCACTTCTTCTTGTTTTTGTTAAAGACTATAT